CTCTTGTGAGATTATTGGATTATGTTTAAAATAGATAGCTTGCTTTGTATGACAAGATAGAACACTTTTTTTTTTTTTTTGGTAATGTATGTCTAATTGATCTATGGATCCTACTGAATGTTTGAGTGTTGTAATGTCCATATGAGCTTGCGTTATGTTGTAGATTTGACAGTGTAGTCTGGCAGATGTTGGATACTTTAAAATGTCTTCTGAATCAGCAGGTTTGTCCTTGATGGTAACTTGTCATCTGTTTGGCTGCTTTATAGGCAGCATTTAACTGCTGTGCACTTGCCTCACTTGTTGATATTAATAGCTTCTTTCTGGATTTCAGGTTAAGAACAAAATGACAAAAGAACAGTATATTAAAATGAATAGAGGTATCAATGACAGTAAAGATCTCCCTGAAGAATATTTGTCTGCTATCTATAATGAAATAGCTGGGAAGAAGATTTCAATGAAAGAAACAAAAGAATTAACAATACCCACAAAATCCAGTAAACAAAGTAAGTAGTGGCAATGTTAGCTTTCTTCAGAGTGTTGGCTCTTCAGTTTCATGAAGCTGTCTCCTTTTTAAAATGAGAGATGAATGAAGCAAGCACCACGTAACTCAAAATGAGTCCTGACTTCTAATTTTATATCCTTTTCCTTTTAACATAATAAATACATGACGCTACCGTCAAATCTGTGTTAAAGGCAGCTGCTTATTTTCACTTCCCTTTGCATCTGAATTCCTGGTATTCAGTGCATTCGCCATGGAGAAGACAGGTTTTGCTGTTCAATGGCAACATAGGGAAATGCACTTGAGGGCTTTATGAAGTAACAGCGTTGCTGATAGGCATACTGCAGAAGAAACATGGTAGTTGTGCCTTCTATTTCTAAGGTAACTGTTGTGTTTTCCTGCAAGAATCAGCCTGTCATCTTCAAAAATTTTGCATTGTTTGGTTTGTAGGGCTCTAATTTATGCACTTTAAAAATTAATTCTCTTTTCCTCTCTCAAATACCAGAAAAACTGTTTTGTGTTTTGCGGAACGTGAAGATTCAGCTGTTATTCATTCTAGCTTTTCTACAGAGAACATTAAGACAGACTTAACTTTTTCCCAACATAGTCAAATTTGTAAACTTTTAAGTCTAGCCTTATGAACGAATTGCTTACAGGAAGTTTGTATCTGGAAAAAAGAATCCCTCTTATTTTCAATATTCGTTCCATTAACATAATGTTTTTATTGTAAGTTTAAAGAAGTTGATGATTGTTTTCTATTTGGGTTTCACTTTCTTGATGAGATGGAGGTTCCTTTGCTGAAATGAAAAGGTGATTAAGGTAGTTCTCCCTCAGAAAAAGGATGTCCACTTATTTTTTTATTGTTATTTTCTGTGCTGATGGATTGCTATGAAGCTTCTGTTCCCTTTGAATTTAGCTTAGTGGGTGTGATATTTATGTTGTCAGTTGAGGTGATGGAGAAGAAATGTTTGTTGTGCAAATCTTAAAATTCTGTAAAGGTTTAAAATTATGTTACATTTCATACATAAATTTGCCTTAAGTTAAAATTTATCTGTATTGTAAAAGAAGTATTTTGCTGCTGTGATAATTTCAGAAAGTAAAGATAATACAAAAAATGCATCTGAGTATGGCACTTAATGAAAAATTTGAAATTATTATATTCCTGAAGACACCACTGCTAAAGATGCACAAATGAGAGGAAAAAAATGTGTTTACAGGTGTTGCTAGTGAAAAACAAAGAAGACTCCTATATAATTTGGAAATGGAACAAATGGCTAAAACAGCTAAAGCTCTTATGGAGGCAGTGAGCCATGTTCAAGCACCTTTTACTAGTGCAACACACCTGGAGCATGTGAGACCCATGTTTAAGGTGAGATACGTGTTTAGATGTTTACCTCAAATATCTCATAGTTTCTTAATACAAAATACTGACTGACAGGATTTGTTGAAAAAGACTGGATTTGCATCTGCTATTTTTTGATCATTTTGTAACTTTAACTTGCTACAAGAAAGAAGGGATTTTGGGCCTTCTACTCCAGTTTCATTTACTCTGGGATTTAAGAAGTTTCTATGCTGATAGCAGCATCTTGATATAATGGAGGAGTTACGAGGAGTATGTTGAGGGGACAAAAGTATAAAAAGTAGTTAAAAACTTGAAACGATAGGATTTTTATTTCAGGTATAGAGATGTAGTCAAAACAACAGGTTTGTAAAAGGGAGGAGTGACTAATCCCAGTTCATTTGTTTGAGTCCCTCTGACTGCTTCTAAGGGAGATCAGTTCATAGAATCATTATGGTTGGAAGAGACCTCAAAGATCATCAAGTCCAACCGTAAGTTCATTGCATTGTGGGGGAGCAATTATCAGAACAAACTTCTGTCTAATGTTCTCTGTTGCAAATTAAAATTTCAGAAAGGCTAAGACTGTCATCTAGTTTTGGGGGAGGTAGCTGGACCTGTATTAAACCATTCTTCTAAACACCTGTCTTTGCTATTGTGTAAGTGCCAAGCTATCTGCATCCCAAATGCCTTTCAGATTCAGATTCGTAGATACTGAGTATGTTCAGATGTGTATTATGCCTCACTATGATATTGGATATGGTCTTCGGCATAACTAACTCACTACGGTTAACTGCCGCTGAAATAAATTGTTGCGCCCTTACCATGCACTCTCACTTGCTGCCCTTCTGCAGGTAGTAGTCCTCATATGACCCCTTTGTGAACTGCTCCAGGGAGGTGAAGTCTCAGACTACTACCATCACAATAAACAAATGGTTCCCTGGAGTGATGTGCTATGAGATCGAGTTGAGCTCCAGACCCAGGCTCAAGAATCATAGAATCATTTAAGCTGGAAAAGACCCTTAAGATCATCGAGTCCAACCGTTAACCTAACGCTGCCAAGTCCACCACTAGACCACGTCCCTAAGCACCACATCTACACGCCTTTTAAATACCTCCAGGGATGGGGACTCCACGTCCCTGGGGAGCCTGTTCCAATGCTTACAACTCTTTCAGTGAAGAAATTCTTCCTAATATCCAATCTAAACCTCCTCTGGCGCAACTTGAGACCATTTCTTCTTGTCCTATCACTTGTTACTTGGGAGAAGAGACCAACCCTCACCTGGCTACCCCCTCCTTTCAGGTCATTGTAGAGAGCGATCAGGTCTCCCCTCAGCCTCCTTTTCTCCAGGCTAAACACCCCCAGCTCCCTCAGCCGCTCCCCATCAGACTTGTGCTCCAGACCCTTCACCACCTTCGTTGCCCTTCTCTGGACTCGCTCCAGCACCTCAAGGTCTTTCTTGTAGCGAGGGGCCCAAAACTGAACACAGCACTCGAGGTGCGGCCTCACCAGTGCCAAGTACAGGGGGACGATCCCTGCCCTGGTCCTGCTGGCCACACTATTGCTGATACAGCCCAGGATGCTGTTGGCGTTCTTGGCCACCTGGGCACACTGAGGATCTAACTCTAAGATTCTGTCCATGAGGCAAACTTTGAGTTCCGTTTCGCCATATTAACAAAAGTCGGATGGTACTCCTGTTTGTACAGAATATAGCTAAGTCAAGCCCTTGTTTAAGATGTACTTTCAAGGTGTCAGGGTGTCGCTTAGCAGAGGTGTACTGTACATAGTTTCTCCCTGTTGACTTCTTTAAGGCTGACATGAAATAACTTGCATGCAGGCATCTGTAAAATTCATAACTATTTTTCCTTAAGATACCAGCCGTATTACTCTATAACATTCCTAACCTTTGGTCTCTGAAAAGTACATTTGCAAAATCTATTTTCAAAGGAGCAAAATATGAAGCACGGGGGTAAATTAACACCCTAAACGTCTTCTGTGAAGGTGCTAAGAATTAGAAGTCTTTTTACTTGAGGATGTTCCTAAACTAATTGAAGTACTTTGAGGACAATGTAATATGTTGAACAGAGAGCTGTCTTGTCAAAGTGAGAACTGTGGAATTTAAATATTTAATTTCACATTATTTATTTAGACTTTTTAGTTTTTATTTCAGCGAAACTTCATAAATGTCTGGCTATCTCTTTCACCCATTGGTGCCAGCATAAAATCATTATAACTATATTTACAGGTAGATTTGCTAAATGATTAAAACAGAACAGAAATTCACTTTATGCACTCACCTAAGCAGCCCAAAATTGATTGTCTATTTTAGAGGCTTAATTTTCACCTTTAATGACAAAACAGTCTATTACAAATAACGGCATAAATATAGTTATAAAGCATACTGTACGGATCGCTAGGTAGTTCTTAAGAAAGTATTTCAGTTTTGTGATTTTTAAGATTAGTTTTTGTTTCAATAGGAATGAAAAATTACAAGGAGGTGGGGAAGAAACATACGCTTCTGGAACATAGAATCATAGTTTGGGTTGGAAGGGACTTTTAAAGGTCATCCAATAGGGAATGAAGTCCTGGATCTAGGACTTCGTTCGATGCCTTTAGTACTGTCCCAGAGCTATGGTTTGGTGTGTGCAAGTGTTAAATGCTTTTCTGGGGTAGTGCTTTTGGAATTGCTGGCTTAAATGAAACCAAAGCTCTGTAGTGCATCATTTTATTATGAAATTAACTGTGAAATCTGTTACTCCCTGCTGTGCCCATTGACTCTGTATTTCATCTGGAGTGACTTCAGGTAAAATTAGTGCTAAAATCATTTTGGATGCCCTGGGGTTTCCTCTCCATAACCACATGTAGTTACGGCAGGATCCTCTGCCATCTCCTCGTTAGTTTTTCTGCCTGTGGGAGAGGGAACCTTGACCACAAGGACAGGACCATGTGGACTCTCCTGCAATAACTTTCAGTTGAGGGTATTACACTCTCAGCCCCACCTAAGGCAAGAGGAATGGGAAATGTCAACGGTGGCTTAGATACAAAAAGATGGAGGGCCAAGGGCAAGAAAAATTAAAAGCAGAAGGATCGAGGAAAGAGTCATGTCCTGTCTCCTCTTGTTTTTGTCTTACCATAATTTTAGTGAAATTAATAGTTTGCTGCCCTATTTTACCCTACCTTTTTCTTTTTCCTTCTGATGTTATCAGGACAAACTTGTCTTATTTAAGTACATACTTTTCATTGTAAAGGAATCTGTTATATGCTGTGCTGGTTCTTGCAATAACTATTGACTCTATCTTTATTTCTCACTGTGCAAAGGTAAAGGTTATCCCGAAAATACCAAAACTCCAATAGACATCTAACTGACATAGCTTTGGGGTTTGTTTTTTTCCAGTTCTCTGAAGATGATTGTGTATGTTGCTTGGTGAGGGAGAGGGAGAGTGCTTCTCAGGGGAGCGTCAGTCTGCATTACTTCTAGCCTATTCTATGTCTCATGTCTCTTCTAACCATACTTCTATCCTATTCTGTGTCTCATGTCTCTTCTATTCCATTTCCTTTTTGGCAAAAGGCAACTTCAAGGTTAATGATGTGAGTTAAGGACGGAATTTATACTGAAGTGTTGAAACTGTAACATTCCCTTCAAGTACTAACAGTTGCTAATGTGACTTTTGTTTTGCATGCGTTCCAGTTGGCATGGACACCTTTTCTAGCTGCGTTCAGTGTGGGTCTACAGGACTGTGATGACACAGAAGTTGCCTCTCTTTGTTTGGAGGGCATACGATGTGCAATCCGGATTGCTTGCATTTTCAACATTCAGGTAAAAAAATGAAGATTGAGACAGTACTTTGATTTAGGTATCAACAAAATGTTAGTGGAGTTCTAAGAGTCCTTGTTGCTGAGGCTCTGCGCTGCAATACCTAGAGGCTGCCTGCTTCTGCAATTAGTACTTCATCTGATATTTGACTGGAAATGTTTTAAATAAAGTCGACTTTTATTTTTCCTGGTGTCTTGTGGTAAGTGCTGCCATTCCTACGTACTCCATTTTTGTTTACCCACAAGTTGACTACTTTTATGTCAAAGTACTCTCTCTCTGGCTTTTTTACAAAGCTGTTTAGCTTTGTTGTGATGTTTCATAAAATGAATCTTTCTATCCTGTTTCATAAGTAAAATAATATCTCTGTGAACTGTGTTTGAAATACTCTTCTCGACTTCAGAGAGATTGTACTAATCTGAGACTTCTGTAATTGGATACCATTTTAACAGTTACGGCACTGGAAATGTCATTCCTGATGTAATGCATTGAATGTATCTTTCATTAAGCACAATGCCAAGAATTCCAGACTCTCTGGCTCCAGAGGGTAATTCTGATGAAACTTGGGTACTTTTTTTTGCCTTTTTTTTTTTCCCCATTTTAAAATCAGTGGTGGTGAACATACTATTATGTTATTGTAGAGTTAGTTAATAAGTGGGGAACTGGTCTGCCATAAATCTGCTGTCAGGATAGCTGAAGAGAGGGGCAGGCAGAATTCATATGTTTGACATTGCATTATTTCACATGGACATTGAAAACATTAAAAAAAACCCAACAACAACAAAAAACCCCACTCAAAACACCCAACAACCTTGTAAGACGAACTTTAAGTAAAAACTGTTGAACTATGATATGATAATGAATGCTTTGCTTCCCTCTCCCCTTGCACTTCTATTAAGCAAATTAGATAACTTTTTATCACTAATGTGGAAAGTCACACTGGGACTTCTGATACAGCCACTTAGACCGTGTAAGGTTTCCCTCCTCTGACTTTCCACTTCATTCCCCCCCCACACACACACCCCTGAAGTGAACCGACTTAAAAATTTGATTAACAAAGCCTTACCTGAAGCCTGCAGCTGTTCAATGAAATTCACATTCCTATTATTTTTGTTTCTAAGCTGCGAAAGTGGAACTGATACAAATACCAGTTTCGGCAGCTGCAGGGGTTAGCTCCCAGTCCTGCAGTGGTCTGCCTTGGGTGGGGAGGGCGAGGACACATTTTCTGTAAGATCCTTATGCCCCAAGAATGTACCAGAGGCAGTCGTACCCTTCCATTGGCTTGTGATAAACTTGATTGAACTGAAGGTGTTTCACAAACAACACTTCTCGTTTGCTGAAATTTAAAAACTTGGTTCTGTATTTTCAGTTTAAGTGATACTGCTTCTTGGTTTCCTATGGGCATTCTGTTTTGTTGATAACATTAAAAACAGTACTGGTTTGTCAATGATTTCAGTACCTTACAGGATGATTCCATCACGCAAGGTCGTGATTAGATGGCAGCGTTGTCTGGCTTCAGACACCAGATAGCTCTGATGGTTTGAAGCAGACTGGTGAATCTGTACTTGAGCTGACTTAGGGATCTTTTCTGTTGGAAGCCGATTTTTCCTTTTGTGCTTAACTGATGCTGGCAACTTTTCTGTTTCATTGAATAAACATACAGAAATTAAGATTGGTGTCTAAGAAGAGTTGACATTAGTTTACACACCTTGAGAGGTAATGGAGGGAGTTGGAGGCTTTTAGTTTTAAGAAAATTCCCGAAGTACACAATATAGTTTAAGCTATGCATGTTCGCGTCTTAAAACCTCAATTAAAGATTCTGGTTTTAATTATTTATGCTTTTAGTCTTAGACTGTCACACAGTCTGGCTTTTGTCTTTAAGCATCTGGGACAAGACACACATCAAAAGGATGTACTTAATTTGCTTATATCATCTGGTTTTACTTTCTGGTTGATAGACACATCATATAGTTGTTTTTCTCCTACTTTGACGGCTTAGAAAAAGGGGCAGAGGGGGAATATCTGTATGGAGCAGAGAGGGAAGGTGGGACTGAAAACATTTTCCTTTTATAGAAGGTACACAGTTTGTAGACTCTGAAGCTTTTTTGCTTAGTACTTGTTCCATGAAACTTCCATTTTTCTGTGCTTACACATCATTTGCTGTGCTTTTGCCAGCATACTCTGTAGTAGTAGTTGGGTTTGAATGTGGCAGCCGTGCCGTGTGGCTCTGTGAGAATCTGTCCCTTCTGTCATTGCCCACTGCTGTGGCGTTCATGTTTTCTCTACGAAACAGACATTCTTCCTGGGATTATTTCTTTTTTTTAATATTTTATATTTGGCTTTATTATGTGCTCAATGATTTTTTAAATTTTGAAATAGTCTTAAACATCCAAATAGTTAAATATATTTCATTGTTGTCTTTTGTTTCTCTGATGTACAACCAGGTCACTTTATGGCCTTCGGATCATACGTAACGGGAGAGTAAAATGCACTTGTGAACTCAACCGTAATCCCCTTTTTACCATTGTAATCAGCTCATATGAGATCTGAGGAGTTTCCTTCGGTGTTTACAGATACTCTGTACATAAACATTGGGTACCTACATGTGGAACATTTTCTTTTTTTTTTTTTTTTTTTTTTGGTGAGATTGATTTCATCTGCCTAGATTATAGGTCACTTGCTGTTTACCCACCTATGACAGTCTCACCTCACAAGCTTCTGAGGCGCTCCAAAAACATGCCTTTTGCCTTTTAAATATATTATTTAGATTCTGTTGCCAAAAAAATCTTAAAACTTGAGGAAGAGTCTGCTAAGGCAGCATTTTCAGGGTAAGTCCAGGTATAGTACAAGAATATTAAAAGCTTAGCTAAGAAGCCACATTTCTTCTGAAGCAACATCCTGTTTCCCAAAAAAGCCCTCCAAAAATCCAAAAAGACTAAACCCAGAAACCTAACAACCTATGTTTTCTATGCTGTCAGACATTACACTTCATATTCCTGAATAGAGGGAGCCTGATTTTACTCCCACAGCTTACTACAGAAGAGCATGAGGTATTTTCACTATGTAGAATGCTTTGGAAATTCAGTTCTAGGAAGAGAAGGGTAAACCATATAGTTGCTGAAATCAATGTACTGTACTAAGAACAAGAAACTGAGAAAATGCTTATGAGACAATTTTTTTTTTTTCTCTCCCATTTGTAGCTTGAAAGAGATGCCTATGTCCAAGCGTTAGCAAGATTTACGTTACTTACAGTGAGTTCTGGTATTACTGAAATGAAGCAGAAGAATATTGACACAATTAAAACTCTCATCACGGTGGCTCATACAGATGGAAACTATTTAGGAAATTCCTGGCATGAGGTACAAGAGTCATTTGTACTTAAACCATAAGAAAGCATGTGTACTGACTTTGAACACAGCGGTGTACTTGTTTGTGCATAAATACAGTGATTTTTAGATAAGTGCCAAGTATATACTTTTGTACATACCTTATGTAGAATTGCACATTGTGCAGCCAATTAAAGTAGCAAAACATGTCCAAGTGAGAAATAAAATAGACTAATCTAATAGTATTTAAATTAATATTCTTTTTAGACAGAAGAACAGAAATACTTGTCTGACCTTGAGTGTTTAGAATTTCTTTTTCTTCTAAATATCTGCCTAAATATTTTTATTTATGGGTTTTTTTTACTATTTCAAACTACTTTTTGTTGCTAAACAACTTCTTTATTCTCTGGAATAGATTCTGAAATGCATCAGTCAACTTGAACTGGCACAGTTAATAGGAACTGGAGTAAAACCTCGCTACATCTCAGGGACAGTGCGTGGCAGGGAAGGTTCTTTTACTGGAACAAAAGATCAGGCACCCGATGAATTTGTGGGACTGGGACTGGGTAAGTAGTACGGATATGAAGTATTTCATTTAACTGGCTTTGTTCTGACATATTAAAGTTTTTCCTTTGTTTTCATTATTGTTGACTGTGAGATTCAGAGAGGAGACCATGAGGTAATCCTTGTAAAACTGTCTTAGGCTTTCAATAGACCTGTTCCTATTTCTGGAATATTTGTTTTGCTCTGTTAAGTAGTATTGCTAGGATGCGAGAGTGAGAAATGTAAGAAAATGACACATTACTCATTTCTGTTAAAATATAGCTGACCAAGTAAGAATGGATTGCTGATGTTATGACCAGATTTAATAATATTGCAACATTAGTGCACCAAGTATTTTACCAAGCAGGCAAGTTAGTATGTGTAGGTTAAGCATCCCGTTACGAAACTTTGCAAGAAATGAGCAGTATTCAAACCAAGTGGGAGATCAGTTTAGCTTAAATTCTGAAATACTGTTTCCTCCTCTTTTGGTTACTTTGTTACTAAATTTTTTAGGTTTTTTAGGCCTTTTTTAGGTTGGCCTGAGAGCCAAAATTTACTCTGTAAACTATGATGTTTCCTATCCTCCTTTGGTAGAAGCATATACCGGTCTTACCTTAAATTATATTAGAGGGATGTTTGTGGGTGGTGGTTGTTGTTTGAGTTTTTGGTTTTTTTGAGGAGTAATGATTATTTTACTAGTTTCCCTGATCTTAGCCCTCAGCTAGTCCTAATTGTCTGGCTTTGTGTTCTCAGACAATTTTTCTTACTCTGCAGTCAGTCCTTTTCTTTCCATTGTGCTCTCCCTTGGCCTGCCTCTATGTACTCCCCTCACCTTGCCAAGAGTTGCTGAAGGGAAACCTTATGCCTGGAAATTAATGCGTCTGCCAGCATCTCGTATACTGAGCTGCTTCCTGCCCTTCTAATGTGCATCCTTTAGTTTAGTGTTCCCCAGTGACCTATCCAGCTTGGCTATTTCCAAATGTTGGCAGTTTCTCTACGAAGTGACTGGCCTTTAAAAATTTTAAGTTCTAGTAGCTCAAGAGTGTAAACTGTAGTCAGGTGTCTCTAAATCATACTTGCTAGTCGTTGGTGTAGATCCAGCTCATAAAAGACTTTTTTTCCCCTCTGTCAACTACATTTCTGAGGAAAGTAGTCTATGCCCAAATGCATAAAATGTTTCTCTCTGAATTGAATTATCTGGAGTGCTTGTTACAGTGCACATATGGAAACGTAACCTTTTTTTGGTTTTTAATAGTAGCACTTCGGTCTTACAGGAAAACGCCTAACTCTCAGGAATTTGGTTTTCATGCACTTAGGGGCTGTTAGAACATCGTCATTTTCTCAACTGTTTTAGTTTTTTCACTCTTCTCCGCAAATCCTGTGTTGCGGATACTTTCATTTTCTTTCTTTGATCACTCTGAAGTATCCTTTGGAGCTGTGGCTGTCCAGCAGCCTTCCTATAAGCTTAATTCCTGTGAAGAACCCATTGTGCATATGTCCATATATACAGACGCATATTTTACAGGAGAATAGTTGTTTAATTACAGTGAGTGAAGTTGCAGTCTGGTGACATAGAAGCTTCATCTTTCAGATCTGCTTGCAAAATCAAACATGCATAAGCGGCAGCATTCACTCTTCTTGCTGAAGTTTGAAGTGTGTGTTTTTTAAACAAAACAAAACCAACCCCCAAACCCCCTTTGCTCGTTTACTGCTTGAACAAAGATTCAGGTGTGCTCTCTTCAGGCATCTACATTTGATTGTCTTTATCACTCTTGCATTATCTTCCTGCTGTGGCCCTTTTTTGTTTTACTTGAAAATTCAAGGCATCACTGTCATGTGGATTGTAAAAGTAAATGAGTAAGCATCTATTCCTTTGCTTTGGTAGGACTGTTGTCTTTCTTGGAGTTGTAACTGTGAAGTTCAACTTTCTTCTACTCTAGTTCCTGTTCACAAAGTTGGAAGACAAAACCTGCCGCTGTGAGTAGGTCATAGCCAAAGTGTACATCTTAGGTAACTGCAAATCCTCTTTGGACAATGAGAGTCTGAGGAATCAGTTTTTCATAAAGCAGAATTATATAGGTGACTTATGTTTTATTATAGAAGATCTCCTAACTGTTGGAATGTAAATCTGCTGTCTGTTTAGATTTTCCAGCATTGGTTATAAATGCTATGATAGTAAGGAATTCTAATGTACACTGGCAAAGTTGGTTAGGGTTACCTGACTTCTTGGAAATAGCTCTTCAAATTTATTTCACACAGCTGCTCATTGGAGACGTTTCTTAGCTGATGCATTACAAAGGGTCAAGCTAATTGGTACTGACAGCTTGTGTGCTTGCAAGAGAAGTCTTGATCAAACCCAACAGTATTCTAAGTTGCTGAAATAGTAGTATAAGGTTACTTTCGTATGCATGTATGTACAGAAACGTTACTCCATAAATGCCCTAGAAAGACACTTCAGATGGGTCGGTTTATCTCGATTTGACAGCCAGTCGTCTCCAGCCACCTCTGAGCGTGGAACACAGCAAGGCTCAGGCAGACTTTTGGGAGCAGTCTGAAACGTGAGAACTTTTCTTCTCTGCAAAGCTCTGAGAGCAGAGCTACCGGCCTTCTTTCGGTCTTCTGTTCTCCCATATCTTTTGGATAGGCTGCCTAAGGAAAAAAAAAAAAAACAAACAAACCTAAATACAGGGTAGGTGGAATTACCCAGAATGGTTGCAAGATTCCTGCTCTTTTTTTGATGGGGGCCCAGAGGGGAGGCTTAGAGATTGCCAGAAATTTCAGAAATTTCCTCACTGTGAAGTTAGCGTTTTCTTAACATGAGGTTTCCCAGGTGTGGGTTATAGTTTCTAGCCTCCAAAATAAATATTGCTATTTTTATTTACAGATTTTTTTCTCAGTATTGTTAGGTGATAATTTTGCTGTACATGAGATGTAGCTTTAAGGTGCAGTTTTGGTGGTAGCTGTTCTCTGTGAATGATTAAAAAGAAAACCTATCAGGATGGATTTACTCGCTTGCTGCTAATAAAGTGTGAAAAGCTCTCCTCTGTGCGGTATTCTCTATCGTATGTTGTGTATTTTCAGTAGCAGGATTAGCAAAGATCCATTGAAAGATGGAGATAAAAACATGGTTCTTGTGCTTTTGAATTTTTTTCACTTATATCTATTCATACAATTGTTCCAAATGTGGAAAATTTTCTGGGACTAATACAGTTTACAGATGGATAGAGAATCTAGAGAATTAGAACTTAGACCAACATGCAACTGTTCACTGAGATGCCCAGCTCATGCAAGGGAAGTTAATAATGTACTTCTCTTTTTTGTGAATTAAAAAATCAATTATACTGGTAATGGCATGACTTCTTTTCCTCTTTCTTCCCAGCCCTTTCTGTGTTTTCTCTTACCCATTTTTCAAATTTTGTTCACTGTAGTTGGTGGAAACGTGGATTGGAAACAGATAGCAAGTATTCAGGAATCCATTGGTGAAACTAGCTCCCAAAGTGTTGTCGTTGCTGTAGACAGGTATTGTATTAAATTTGCTGCTGCCACCTCAAGCTTTTCAAGCGATATTTCAATACCCTGTGCTAGTAATAGGACATTATTAATTTACCCCTATTTGAAAAAAACTACATAAATATTGTCATATTAAAGCGCTTTCTGGTTTTGTGGGGGGTTTTGTGCTTTTTTTATGGAGCAGTATTCTTTTTGCAAGAAGGAATAGAACAAAGATTAGGCAAACCTTATTACTGATGTAGAATTATTACAGGAGAGTTGCAGAATAAAGACTATTGTACTGTCCACTGAATCTTGGTTTGCCGTATATAGTAACATATAGCAAATCTCATTTTACCTTAATACAGGGAGCATTACTGACAGACCCTTTTTCTCCTAATGTAGTTACTGACTCTCTGCTTTCCTCTAGGATATGCAGATGTTGTCTGAAATTACCAAAAGTATTATTCCAGTTTTTCTTTCTATGAATCATGTTTATTATAACTGGATTTGATTAGGCATAATCCATATCATAAACATTCCCTGTTTATATCGTAGAATACTGATCAGACTGGATTGTAAATGGATCATGCTCTCTCGGCATATAAGAAATCAGAAAACATTTTCTTAATGGTTGTCAAATTGGACAGTCACAAAGGGGTATCATTCTGAAGGCTTACAAGCATTTCTGTGGTTGAGTATAGGCACCAAGATCGATGTCAGTTCAATGAAAGTTGCCTTGCAGTAAAATCACATCAAGTGAACTGAAGGCTTAATGTCAGACACATAATAGCTCTTTAGGTTTGCAGTATTTCTCGCCATTTCATAATGGGAAGTGTTTCAAGTATCTGTCATGGCAAATAAGAATTGTGCGGTCTGGAGAAATTTGATTTGTGTGTTTGGAGCAGGGCTGAATAGTTTATAAACTGCTGACATTATTCATCGGTCACTGTCAATGAGTGGATAGTATTAGAAACAATGCTCACCTCCCAGTCTCCACGCATGCTTGTCGGAGTTATTTTTAAATATCAGAAATAATTGAAATATTTCTGATTTTTATTTGCAAAGCTCAGTATTTTTCCACAATTACGAATTGTTTTTTAATAAATAAAAGTAGTCAGTGTGTATATGTATTTTTAAAAAAATTTGAATACATGTTTAATAGATGCTTTTTTAAGATACTGTAACAGTGTCTTCAACTGCACTTTACAGAATATTCACAGGATCTACAAGGTTGGATGGAAATGCTATTGGTAGGTTTTATCTCCCCCCACCCCCCGCCTCCTGTAAACTACAAAGCAGCTTTGTCTTAAACCTTGAAAAAATATTACATTAAAATATGTGGTCATTTAACAGTGGATTTTGTTCGCTGGCTTTGTGCTGTATCTATGGATGAACTGCTGTCTGCTACCCACCCTCGGATGTTTAGTCTGCAGAAGATAGTAGAGATTTCTTACTACAACATGGGCCGGATAAGGCTACAGTGGTCTAGAATCTGGGAAGTTATTGGAGATCATTTTAATAAGGTATCCCTGTTAATGATTGTACTGCATACTCCTTGAATTATCAATACAAATGAATTTTATTTAGAGATTTGTTGGAAAAGCATATATTCATCTGAATTACATTGGTTTTCCTGTCCTTCTCTATAAGTAGCTTAAAACACAACCAAAATTGTTATGCTCAAAAGACATGCGAGAAGGCAGAGGTAACACAATGTAATAAATATAAAAGCAGGAGTATACATCAAGTTATTTATCATGACCTGGGTCTGGAACTGGCTGCCTTTAGTTATGTGTTCTAATTTTTGGGGATGTTTTATGCAGCTTGGGATAAGAGGTGGTTTTCTGTTCAAGTCTAAATGGACTATTTATCAGGTGAATGTTTGACATACATTTTTAATACCCCTTGTTGAAACCTTTCTAGACAACTTGCTTATTTTTAGAAACTTTTAAGTACTAGGATATATAATACAGAAGATAGCTGGAATTGGTTAGGGATTATTGGATTACATTAACAATGTGGTTTATGGAATTGGCTACTGTTTAATTTTCTTAATTTTCCAGTACTGGCTAGTTCTCCATTACCAAATGTGAAGACAGCTTGGGCCGAATCCATAAGAATTCTGATGCAAGCTTACTATGCATTTCTATTCTACATTATCAGGTTGGCTGCAATCCCAATGAAGATGTAGCTATTTTTGCAGTAGACTCATTAAGGCAATTATCAATGAAGTTTTTGGAAAAAGGAGAACTTGCTAATTTCCGATTCCAGAAGGACTTCCTAAGACCGTTTGAACATATCATGAAGAGAAACAGGTGATAACATACAATTAACTGAATGGCCTGGGTTCATAAGCACCAACTTTTGCAATTAATGTTTCAAATTGCTTTTGTAAAATCAGTTGCTGGAGAATTATACTATTCTAATTGATTATGTAATTTAGTTTAAACAATTATTGTTTATTATCTTAATTTAGGTCCCCTACTATTCGAGACATGGTTGTACGGTGTATTGCACAGATGGTAAATTCCCAGGCTGCTAACATTCGTTCTGGTTGGAAAAACATTTTTTCAGTATTTCATCTGGCAGCCTCAGATCAGGATGAAAGTATAGTGGAACTTGCATTCCAGACTACAGGACACATTGTCAGTGAGTATTGATGATATTCGGACATCGTGAAAGTGTATGCGACTCCAGAGACTGAGAAGCTTTGTTTATCTTTTGGCTCTACAGCCTGCATGGTAAAGCCTGCTTCATACTTTAGAGCCAATGTTTTATACTTTTCAACCAATCCTCTGGGAAAATATGAAAATAATTCAGTAAGATTATACTTACCCTGTCTTCTTTTATGCCTTTTAAAAAAAATGTATCTGTGGCATTTTGTAGTAAAACATGTCAAGCCTTAGATAATTTCACTTAATGTGTACATTATCATTTTTTCCCCCAGAAAAAGAGTTGTGTAATTGTTTTCCGTCATTTGCTTATCTTCTTCCTTGTTTTTCTGATTTGTGCTTGTCTATGGCCCTGTTTTTTGGTTTTGGTTTTTTTTTTCTTTTCCCCTTTCCCATTCTAATCTAGATCTGAGGCTTTAAGTGCCATAAGGGATCTCTTTATTCTGTCTCAACCTCTGCAAGTTCCTAAAACTTTTTCAGCATTGATAAAGAATGGGTTTTTTTCCTCAAAAGTAACTCTTTAAAATCAAGGCAACAGGACCCTATTGCTGAGGGAAGTCCTTCTGTAGATGTAACTCTGTGCTTTATGTAGCCCTCTCAAGCTCTGATCACACAGGCTGGTGTTAAGCAGTAAGCCCATTGCTCTGTTCTTGCTTAACTGTTCCATTTCCCTCCTTTAGACTAAATGCTACCTTGATTTATTTTAGACACTTATTTACTGCCAAAATAGAATGCCCTTTAGGTGATTGATTTTTTTTTTTTTGATTGAGCATTCATTTTTTTGGTTTTTATTACTACTCAAGAATTTGACAGCACCAATCACTGAACCAGTCTCTCATGACTTCTGTTACAATCAGTTCATATTAGAATTAATAGACTTTTAAAGCATGACACTTTTTTTTTTCTTCTGTTCACACTTGTCTCCCAGCAATTGTGTTTGAAAAACACTTCCCAGCAACCATAGATTCTTTCCAGGATGCAGTAAAGTGCTTGTCTGAATTTGCCTGCAATGCAGCATTTCCAGATACCAGTATGGAAGCGATCCGCCTCATTCGCCACTGTGCAAAATATGTATCTGATAGACCTCAGGTATAGTCTGTATTAACTAAATTATGAGTGCTTTAATCAATAGTGCTTTTGTAGAGAAAAAAAATACTTGCGCTACCCTTACTGGCTTCCTTTCAAGTTTCAGAGATTAATGAGAAATGTACTTTATACAGAAGCAATAGGAGTATAAAACGCCACAGGCTTTGAAAGTATCAGTAATTATTTTTTTTCTTTTATTCCCCCCTCTACCCATTGCCATCCACCCAGTTCAGTTGTTGGCTGGCTTTCCTGAGAGCTGCTGGAAATCAACCAGAATCTGTATCTCAGAATGAGCTCTGTACTGAGAAATGTTGTGAAGAATGGATAATGGCATAAGCAAAAATGCCTGATATCCTCAAAATGTTATGGTAGATCCTCACTTTCAGTGCAGTCTCTATAAAAAGAGAGTAAGAGACTCACGCTGAACTGCAAGCAAAAACTGATGCTAGAATGTATCATCTTGTTTATTTTTTTTAGTTTATTTTTCATAATATACTAAGTGTTACTTTGAAAAACACTTCACCTTCTCAGTATTACTATTTTGATTGCCAGCTCCCCTGAGGTATCAGGCTGTAATGCTAGTACAGCAGAGATTGTTATTTACAGTTCAAATTGTGTTTTATTTTGAAGAATCTAACTCTTATGACTCTGTATAATCTTGTGTTTTCTTCTAAAGGCGTTCAAGGAATACACGAGTGATGATATGAATGTAGCTCCTGAAGACAGAGTGTGGGTGCGAGGATGGTTCCCAATTCTGTTTGAGTTGTCCTGTATCATCAATAGATGCAAATTAGATGTAAGAACCAGGTAACAATCCGTATTTGTAATTTGAATTTTGAAAGGCTTACTTTACACTTTTAAAAGAGAAGTAACTCTCTTAGTAAACGTAACCGTCGTAAAATGACGTGTGCTTAACTTAGGTGATATCACTGTGGGAATACCAGACTTTTTAAAAATACCTCTTATATGCTGGAATGTAGAAATTAAGTCTGTGTTCTTTATATATGAAATTTTTATCTTCCATTATGATAAATAATGAAGTTATGTGGTTGTGATTGCATTGTGTTAAATAGATAAGTATTACATTTCCTTAAAGTTAAATATTCAAATAGTCCCTGTTGAGGATGAATAGCCATGAAATCGCAAAGATAAGAACTATTTAAATAGTTCATTTGAAAATAAATTAAAGCTTAAGTAAATTAAAATATAGTGACTGCTTTACGTTTATTATAGAACCTGTAAACTATTTAAAACAGCTCAGCTGAACTTACGATCAGATGCAATGGAGGCCATTTATACATAGAACACAGTAAAATGTAAAAGTCAGCTTTTAACTTTCCTAACATATAACAACCAAGCATTACTTTAACGTATAGAGGGAAACTCTAAATGGTCAATGTGCATTAACACACACACCTTTTTTTTTAATTTTTTTTTTAAATAAGGTATTACATTCGATTAATATCCAAATCTGTATTTTTGCATTGGTGATACTGATCCTCTCCATTCATTAGTAAATATAAACGTATGATGTTGATTTCATGATGTATGTCCTCATTATGTATTCCATTTTAGTGATTTGTCGTAGTTAACCTGCGTAAGCCTCGTACCACATTTCCGTTTTTGCTGTGTTTAAAACAAATGTGAAAAGCTGCATGCAACGAGTAGGTGTTGTTTTAGTGGACTCCCAACAGCAAAATTCTATTGGAATCTTTTTTTGGTTTTAATTAAAACTCATGATCCCAGTCCTGCCTGCCTTCCTGTGTCTTGCCCATCATACTTACTTTGAGGATTTTGAGACTGGTTTTATATATATTGTGATTCATTAACTGGTTGAGGATTGCAGAAACAGTTGAAAAAGCAAAGCTGTACTCTGATTTCATGTAAAACCTGTGTATTTTCCTTGAAGATGGCTTTTCCCTTATAAAGGTTATTCTGTTGCAGTTCTGATGCTAAACATGAGAGGTTGTATACAAATCATTTTAAACTTACACATCTACATGGGAGCTGTGCGTCTGGACTCCCGTTACAGCTGGTGAAGATTAGTACTCATTTCTGGACCTCTGTATTTCTTACCTGGAAATACTTGTTCCTTTATGTTTGTGGTCCTTTGGAAAGAAGTTGTTTTCCTATTTTAATCTGAAATTACCACAGTTCTGAAAAGTATTTTCTGGCTATTTCCTTTGACTTTTAAGTGCTTTGTAAACAAGCTGACTTTCTGCTTAATTTTAGTGTACTTAGTGTGACTGATCCACATCAGATCAATGTATAATGTTCTTAACAGTATTTGAGTTGGTTATTGCTGTTGCAGTTGGACATATTTGGTTTAGTGCGTGTCTTCTTGTAACTCCTAGTATATGTTGTTCTTCATTTCAGGGGCTTAACAGTAATGTTTGAAATAATGAAGACATATGGCCATACTTACGAAAAACACTGGTGGCAAGATTTGTTCCGGATCGTCTTCAGGATATTTGACAACATGAAACTACCAGAACAGCAGACTGAGGTGAAAAAAGTGGGGGAAGATAATTTACATGAGATCTATGTTTACAGTAGAAAACCTGATTAGTAATATAACTACTCAAGTCATGTAAGGCAAACCTCAAAACTTGCATGGCTGACCTGTGGTTTCAGTAGCCTTATTCTGTTTTATTAGCATTCTGTTGGAGGTGGTGTCACTTTTCTCTCTCTCTTTTTTTTTTTTTTTTTTTTAAAAAAACCCATGTGTGTTAAAGGGCTAGTAGTTTGCACTACGAACAACAGAAGAATAGCATAAAATGCAACATATCTAGGGTTTGTAAGAACAACTGCAGCTTTTACACGATACCTAGAATCCAAGACACACATCATTTCATGGCAATATGCTCAATGGAATGACGCTTATAATCAGCAGTGAAGTCACAGTTAGAAGAAGTAAGTTCGGCTAGTTCAAATCTTTTCGATGATTAGAAAAAAAAAAACAACAAAACCCACAAACAAAAAAAACACACAAAGAAACAAAAAGCCCGAAAAAACAAACAAAAAACCCTCCAAAACAGCACTGTGCTTTCACTGCACCCTTTTGACCAGCCAAACAGGTTTTGACCTGCCAAACCAGGACCAGGTACTGTCTGGACAAGGAAGTGAACCAGAAAAGGGCTTAAATTATGTCTAAAGTATTAATATTAGAAGTTTGATTAAATTGTCCACTGTTTGTGAAGCTCTGTCTGACTCTCTGTAGCAGGACATGTCTCACTTTCTAAATTTTTGTTCCCTGGAAAATATTTAGAAGAAACACAGAAAACTTAGCTTGCTGTTAAACTACTGAGCTAGGGTTAGACGCTAAGTTTAATGTCAAACTCAGTATCTCATGATGGTAAGTGCTTGTCAATGCTATAAGCTGCTCTCCAACAACAGTTGTTTGTCTGTTTCTGTAGGTTTTTAAACCTGCTAGTTAGCAAAGCAAAAGTTGAGGCTTAAAGTTTTGGGGGTTTTGAGATATAGAAAGAAATGACATGTCACTATAAAGCAATTCAAATTTAGTAAATACATAATATCCATCTGCCTGCAGGGGTGTGTATCCTAAAAGTTTCACCTTGAACAAAGTTGTGACTTTTTTCTTTTCCCCCCCCTACTAGAAAGCTGAATGGATGACAACTACTTGCAACCATGCACTTTATGCAATATGTGATGTATTCACACAGTATTTAGAAGTACTTAGTGATGTTCTTTTGGATGATATATTTGCGCAGCTGTACTGGTGTGTGCAGCAAGGTAGGACTGTTTAACATAATTTGGTACAATGTTAACATTTTACTATTTTGAATGTGAATAAACAAACGCACTGTTTGTCTTTTCCAGACAATGAACAACTGGCACGGTCTGGTACAAACTGTTTGGAGAATGTTGTCATCCTAAATGGTGAAAAGTTTACCCTAGAAATCTGGGATAAAACTTGTACTTGCATGCTGGATATTTTCAAAACTACTATCCCTCATGCGTAAGACGACTGTTAATATTTATACTTTGTATAATAGTTTAGCTAGGTGACTTACTGATTTGAAACTGTTAGATGTCTAATAGGTAGGGTGAACAAAAAGCTGTTATGTGTGGACGAAATAGAAGCAGACTTTCTTGGAGCGTAATGATAAATTAGGTGCTAGATATACTTTTGTGCTGTAAATGATTAACTGCTAAAAACTAGAAATACTGTATGGGAGATAAGGAAAAAAACAACAAAAAAACCCCACAAACAAAAAAACCCCAAAACCCAAACCTATAACTTAATTCAATTTTGAAATGTTGTGGTTTTTTATAAGTACTACCTGATATTTTTGGTCATTTTCTTTTTGTAATCGAATGCTGTTGACAGGCAGACTTCCCAATTTGTAGTTACATGTGAAGATTTTTCCACAAAATACTGAAATACTGCAACGGTTTTGTAGATTTAAGCCTCTGTGGTTGATGGTTAACTTTCATCATATGTTTGTATGAATCCTAATCTTATGAAAATTATTTTACATATTTGGTAACTCACTTTCCCTTCGTTGTAACTCTATGTGAAGTGCCTTGGAACAAGGCTGTACTATTCTGAGTAGTATGTTATACATAGACATCGTAGAGCAGAGTAACAAGACGTCACGTCCAGCTTTATAACAAAGATGAGGGGCTTGGGTTTGATTTGGTTTGTGTTTTGTTTTTTTTCTCCTACCCTACCAACACTGAGGTGAAACACTACTTGTTTTCAAATCTGATAGTCTTAATGTTGAACTGTTGTATTATTTCTTTTCCTATATCTGTCAACTGGTTCATAGCATTTGCTTCTGGGATCACCTAGTTCAGGCCTGAAGAAAACTGAAGCAAAAGGGAACATTCTGCACATCAGTCTTTCCTTAATTTTAGAGTTATGTATCAGATAGCACTGTAAGAGAGTTTCATTCATGCTGAAAAGATAAGTTAATCCATCTGTCACTACCTCACCGACTTTTCTATGTGAGTAGGTATGAATTAATTGCATCCAAAAAATAATACTAAAATAAAACTGAAATATCTGGGAGCTAGCAAGATACTCTTTTTTGCATTTTGGTAACTGCCAAAAATAAAATTTGAAACCCCATCTCTGGATGTAAAAGTCCAATTGAATTAACCTTAACTTACTATGTCCTGTACTTGGAAAGATTTTGAAGTGAATATTTACTAGCAGAACATTTGCTTTGGTTTCCACATATGATCAAAACTTAGGTTTCTGGGTATTCTCATAGTTGAATATTAGAAACCCTTCTAGAGCAGCATGTTGGATATCTTAATATTTAGACACATTCAAAATACTCTTGTTGCCTTTAGCTATATCTGTTTTGAAATACGTGCATTATTCCCTTTGATGTTTATGGCACTTCTGCTTTTCAATTAGGTTATTTTTCCTAGGAGGGTATCTGACTCCTTCCAAAGACTTCCATTCTTTCCTTCTCATCTCATCTCATCTCCTTTTTAATCTTTCTATGACTTCTTTGAGAACTTAATTGTATTATTCCCTCTTGTATTTTTGGGAGGTTCCCAACTTTTGCAGGGTAAAGTGAATCTTACTTGGATTTTATACATGAGTAATCCCTTGCACATATGTAATCAGTCTCCTTTCCCATGGTGAAAGTACACCTACTCTTTTCCAAACAATTGTTGGGTGACATAAAACTGCTCAAAACAGTCTTTTTACTTTGACCACATTTGATTAAAGCTGAAGCTTTTGAGATGGGTAAGAAAAAATTATGATAGCAATATACAGGTATTCGTTCATATTTTTAATGGAAACTTTGTAGTAATTTTTTTTTGCTTTTCTTTCTGGACTCCTGGTTTAGCTGGCATTTCGTATTTGTATTTCTTAGTCTTCTTAGTCCCTCTATTAGCCTTATTTTTGTGGAGGAGCTTTTCCTGCCCTCCCAGCCTTACTCTTTTTTTTTTTTTTTTTTTTTTTTTTGACAACACAGTTTTAATGCCCATCTTGTTGTGGAAGTGCCCCAGTACTTAGAGAAGGTGGCAAATGCTCCTTTTGCCTTTGTTTTCCCATGTGTGGAAGTAACACAACAGTTAACATTGAAATGAAGAGAGAGGCAAATCACACAGTGGTATATATGAAAGGTTTATAGTCAAGTCCTGTATTGCTTAATTGTCTTGAAATAGATGCTATGAATCTCTGGAGTGTAAAGTATCTTCTGGCAGAGGTTTTTATTAATCTGATCAGGTAGGATTACATCTATTCTTTTTAAACATTCATATAAAATACCTTCCAGGTCTTGTGTAACTTCTTCAATTTAAGAGTTGCAGCATTGGTGCAGGAGTTCTTAGCTTCAGTACTAGCCTCTGCTGGTTCTTGGAAAGTTACCTTTTTGCAAAGAGAGGTGATCATATTATTTCCTTGTTTGGGAAACTTAGTACTAAAATATTTACTCAGCTACCAATTTCAGCAAGGATCACTTATTACAAAAGCCCAAACTATACTCCTGCCAAGCTTCCACAGAATCATTGAGATGTTGATAGCTGAAGATACTAACACAGAATCACATGGAATGACTGAGGTTGGAAGGGGCTCTGGAGGTTGTCTGGTCCAATCCCCTCCTCAGGCAGGGCCACCCAGAGCAGTTTCCCCAGGACCAAGTTCAGACAGCTCCTGAATATGTCCAAGGAGGGAAGCTCCACAACCTCCCTGGGCAACCTGTGCCAGTGCTTGGTCACCCTGACAGTGAAAAAGTGTCTCCTGATGTTCAGAGGGAACCTCCTGGGTTTCAGTGTGTGCCCATTGCCTCTGGTCCTGTCACTGGGCACCACTGAGAAGAGCCTGGTTTTGTCTTCTTTGCACCCTCCCTTCTGTTTATAGACATTGATGAGATGTCCCTGAGCCTTCTCTTCTCCAGGCTGGACAGTCCCAGCTCTCTCAGCCTTTCCTCAGAGGAGAGATGCTTCAGTCCCTTTGTCATCTTCATGGCCTTGTGCTAGACTCTCTCAAATACATCCATGTCTCTCTCATACGGGGGAGCCCAGGACTGGACACTGTGCTGAGTAGAGGGACAGGATCACCTCCCTCCACCTGCTGGCAACTCTCTTAATGCAGCCCAGGACACCATTTGCTTTCTTTGCAGCAAGGGCACATTGCCGGCTCATGTCCACCCTCGTGTCCACATGGACTCCCAGGGCCTTCTCTGCCAAGCTGCTTCCCAGCTGGGCAGCCCCCAGCCCATGCTGGTGCCTGGGGTTGTTCCTCTCCAAGTGAAGAACTTCGCGCTTCCCCTTGTAGAACTTCCTGAGGTTCCCGTCAGCCCATTTCTCCAGCCTAGCGAGGTCCCTCTGGATGGGATCATGACCCTCTGGTGTATCAGCCACTCCTCCCACTCCTCTGTAATCAACAAACTTGCTGAGGGCCCAATCTGCCCCATCATCCAGATCATTTATGAAGATATTGAACAGAACTGGATCCAGTATCGACCTCTGGGGTACACCACTAGTTACTGGCCTTCAACTAGACTTTATGCCCCTTATCGCCACCCTCTTCGCTTGGCTGTTCAGCCAGTTTTCAGTCCACCCTGCTGTTTCGTCATCCAGCCCATATTTCATTAGCTCATTTTAATAGTTTCTTTGATTTTTCTTTTTATTTGATTTCTGTTCTGGTTATAATTTTTTTTTAATTAAAATTTTCTGAAGCTTCATGAGAGCAAGTCTTGGCTTGCTGGCGCTGGGAAAGCCAGGATGAACGCCGTCTTGTCCTCGGGAAATTCAAGAGTTAGAATTGGTTCCTTACACAAATTACAATGATCTGGCTTCTGCTGGCTCATAATGGCTCATTATTCCGTTACCTCCTTTGGCAGATGGAAGTTTAAGACTTTATAGCCCCAAATAAATTACACTGTATTTAGCAGCCTCTCGTCCAGAATAATCTGGAATTTGTGTCCTGCTAGCTTTCAAAAATCAGTTCAGTTCCGTGCTCTACTTTGTTGTCTCATTACATGCCTCAAGATTTTACCTTTTCTTATCTCCGATTTGTCCTTTTACTTGTATGATCTTTAGTTGTATGGAGATCAGTGATGTGTTAATTTAGGATCCTTAACACAATGGGAAGGATCTCACTTAGGACACGCAAACATAAATGTCCATCAAGCATTGTCTCACACAGACTGAGGCTAAATAGTTTGAGATCTTAGCAATGACAAATATCTTTAATCTTACTCGGTAGCAATAATTTTGGTAGAACAAGAGATTATGGGACCGCTTAGGTTAGTTAATCCAATTTCCCTCGATTCTTGGCAGGCCCCAACAGCCTCCATAAATTACAATTAATGTAGAAATTTTTTAGTGCTTCAGGGGAAGATCCTCAGGACAGCAAAGTGCTCTAGGAAAGCAGCAGGGAAGAGATCAGAAGTGTTGTCAGTGACTCATAACAGCAATGAATCCTAAGTGGAAGTGTTGAATCCTAAGTGGAAATAGAACCACAATGCTGGAACATATCCCGGACAGGGAGTGCAAAACATATCCAGACGTTCATGCTGATTTGTCCTGGGTTATATTCATTCCTTATTCCAGGTAAAGCTTACTTAAAACTGAAATTAGTTTATTAGTTTATGGAAGTGTCTATATCTGACTCTTTTTATGTTTGGCTTCTGTTAATTTAAATTAAACAAAACCCCCACCATACTGAAGTGGACTTTTTAGAATGTTGGTTCCAATTTGTATTTCAAACTTATTAAATTTGGTACTGGTTTTGTGTTTTCAAGGCTGCTGACTTGGCAACCAGTCAGTGGGGAGTTTGGCTCTGGATCTCCCTCTGATGCAAAAGAAAAACTGGTAAGCTGCTGAAATAAAAAGTATTTTAAAAGCTCACAAGAGTTTGGCACAAAGGTGCTGTGATGTAGAATAAGTGAAAACTATACTTAGTTTAAACCCATTTTTCAATTTTGATTTACTGGAAAAAAGGGGTTTTTCCAGTTTTTTATGTATTTGCAGTGAAGTTGGCTTCCGGAAGTTGGCTGTAGGTCATTAGCTATGAACGTTGCAGGTAATGTCCTGTGTCTGGTAGGTCTATGTAATACTGTATTTAGGGTTTGAGTTGTTTTCTGGTTTGGGCCGTGGTTTTTGTTCCATTTTACTCAATATTCTCTCTTATATATTGACACAATGAGACAATGCTGGAGGTGGAAAGATTGCCAGTTAGACTGACTTTCTTTTCCTTCAAATTTTCTCTGGTAATAACAACTTAAGCATCAGTGTTTAAAATAGAAAATATGTATAACCATCAGATTTCTTAGCCCTCATTGAATAAACAGATGTAAAATTTGGATTTGCCTATAAGTGGCAGCCCTTGTAGCTACTTTACTACCGATGAGAATTAGTTTAGCTTTTGGACATTCTCACAAGATTGCTGCATGAAGTTCTTTATAGATTAATGAATCATTTGATAAAAATCGTTCAAGGATATGGTCCCAATTCTACTAAGAGAGACCGACTCCCTCCATTTATCTTTGTGAAGTGTTAACATCATTTACTTAGAGTGTAAATGTTTGTGATAGCCACTTCTCATTATACAGGTATTTTACATCTGTGTGACTGAATGTGCTTGCTGTATCCACTCATCTGTAGTGGTTTGATGTATAAAACGTTTGATCTAACTGTTGGCTACGTTTTTGATTCATTTATGTCAAATATAATAGCATGCAAAAATGGCAATATATTAAATGTCTTGGTCATGAATAAATTGAAAGATCTTTTCTCTTTGAGATAGTTTAACAGGAATATTTTCAAAAATCTTTTTTGTCATCAGTGTAAAAAGACACTTTACAACTTCAAAATTAACAGAACTTGTCTAATAAATAGTGTTAAAGGAGATATAATTTGGATCCTTTGTTTTGGTAGGGTAGAATTTTTGCAGTCTTCAGATATTTCCTTCTAATTTTTATTTGGGTAGGTCAAATATAATGAAGCGTTCTACTATCTATAGACATAATATCTATTTAAAGTATATTTATTCTTAATAGGGATGAAAACCTTGGTTATTTACTGGTACGAGAAGTTGATATGTTCTTTATAGGAACTGTATGTGTAGCTTTAAATCTAGTTAACAACACAATGCAGGGAATTAATGTGTGGTCTCCAGTGGCACTGATGGAACAAATGCCAATAGAAATGCTGGGTTATTGAAGGCAACACTAATTGCTATATATAACTGCTTTGCAGTTAATGATAACGTATTTTGTTATTTCCCTCTTTCAATGAATGCTTTCTGCAATGAAAACAATAGGTATTACCATTGATTTTAATACTTTGCATTCAACTGCTCAAGAAGGAAGATATTTATTAAAAAAGAAAACAAAACCCCAACAATTCATCTTCCAAAGTCATTGGCTTCTGTCTCATGAGATAACACGATACAACATGGAGAATCAGAACCCATTGCAGAAGTCTGCTGAAGCAGCTCTCTGGCAAAAGGATTTTAAATTAGAGCATTTTCTTGATATGCATATAGTCTCCTTCTCCGTCATTTTAGTGTGGTAATTTCCTGTAGCACCTACGAGCATTTTAGTAGGAGCTTATAATTCAGGACATTCAAGGGAGTAAAGGCAAGTAAAGATTCAAGTTTGATGGTAGCTCATATTGTTTAGACTTGTCATTTAAGAGCTGTGTGTTCACATTTTCGCCCATTATAAAAGGAATACAAATTCTCTCTCACAGAAGATATTAGAGGGTTTTATTGTAGATCAAGGTAGATACTGCATTGCCCAGTATTGGAACCTTGCAGCAAACCTCATACACTTAATCTAGTAAAAGTCTTAACTGTTGGCTGACACTAAATCTTTGGATGGCATACAAAAAAACCCATGTGCAAAATACTACTCATTGACTTTGCTGTGTAATTAAGTACTTGTTGCTTGTTACATTTTCAATTCTTTCTTAGTAGGTCATCTTTTTAGTACATCTTTCTTGAATGTTAGTATCAAATATGACTGAAATGAATGAAAAAGTGCAGTGTTGAAATAGCAAATATCTTAAGCTATTAAGAACACAACACTATTGACAGTTGGCTCACAGAATTTTTCTGTAAGTTAATTGGATTTTTTGGCTTTCTTTTCAGGATACAATCTCACAGAAGTCAGTAGATATTCATGAGTCTATTCAGCCTAGATCTTCAGATGGACGTCCATATCAACCCAGCACAGGGTCCACAGTAGGTGAAGAAATGAGTAAAACCAGGCCAACAGCAAGTGCGTGTTTTGTAGTGATTTGAATGTTATAGCTGTTTAGAGTAGTATCTAGCAGATGTTTGATATCTTTAGTTATAGCCCCAGCTATAACTTTAGAAACATGATGTGAAGAAAATTACATGGGTTAAATTTTTGTCTTCATGTAGTATGACAGAATTCTGTTGGACTCCTGTGGATCCACGTTTTTGACCTGTGCTTTAAAAATCTGGAGTTCAGCTGCTGACTTGCAGGCTTTTTACCTAAAGCAAAATATTAAAAACATTACTCTCCTGATAATACTATGTAAATGAGTAATTTTTGTTTTCTTAAGAGCAAAGTTCTTTCCGTGCAGAATTCAACAGAAGCAATAGCTGAAAAAAAAAAAGTGTATTTAGACTGATTTGAAGAGAGTATATCAAACCCTTAAGATAACTTGTGCAGAGTTATGGGTTGGTGCTTAAAATGCTCACGTCTGGTGGTATTAGTACTTGCCACAAGTACAAACAAGCTTCAGTGATATCAGTGCTGTCCTAAGCCTCCTCTGCCTGTGGACAGTCTGTTGCCATTGCACTGATGCTAACAACAAGGTCACTAATTTTGGTGATTTTTAGGTAACACTGAATATTTGTCCAATATATGACAGGGAACTTTAAAGTTAGGAAATAGTTGTGGGTTTTTTTTTCAAACCTGCCAATTGGTAACATGGTGATCAGTCCTGGTTTTAGAAGAGTAATTCATGTGGGTGGATTCCTGGATTCCAGGTTGGGTTTATGAATGTGCTTGAAGTTAAGCTGTTCTTCAACCTACCCCCAAAATAGCTCAAAAAAGAAAAAAGTGTTGCAGTTCCTTAGTTAACAGGCAATTTTCTTTTTCTTTCCTTTAAAGAATTTCCAGAACAGAAGTTATTTGCTGCTCTTTTGATCAAATGCGTTGTACAACTGGAACTCATTCAGACTATCGACAATATTGTGTTCTTCCCAGCAACTAGCAAAAAAGAAGATGCAGAGAATCTAGCAGCAGCCCAAGTAAGTAGTACTGATAAGTGTCTCTAAAACAGCTTTTTCTCTAGTGGCTAAAGTTTCATAAACTCCTGTAACATCTTCTGATTTATAGTTGTTAGAAATGCTTGAGAACTTTCAACAGACAGTCGAGATTTTTTACATCTTGCATTAAATCACATTTGATGTGCTGGGGCAGCCCACTGTGGAGATTAAAACATGTCTTGTTCGGAGGGATTTGTGGACTGGGATGTGGATACAACAATACAGTTTTAAGTTTAAATACAAGTACAGATGAGAACAGGGTAGGATTGAGTTCTTGCAGGAGCTTGCTGAAGACAATTGTGAATTTTTACTTGAAATCTCTTTTTTTTAATAGAGAGATGCAGTAGACTTCGATGTCCGTGTGGATACACAAGATCAAGGGATGTATCGTTTTCTAACATCGCAGCAGCTTTTCAAACTTCTCGATTGTCTGCTAGAATCTCACAGATTTGCTAAAGCATTTAATTCAAACAACGAACAAAGAACTGCTCTCTGGAAAGCAGGTGAGTCAGTCACCTGGGAGAAATATTTTCTGAGAATGCGTTACTGTGCTTTGAATTGACCCAAAAATAGATGAAAAGTACTTTGATGCTGAATGTAAAATTGAATATCAGGCTTTAACTTTATGACCCTAGAATCCCTAAGAGGAGGAGATCTGATCTGTGCAGATGCAAATATCTTTTCAGTTGCCTATAATTTAAGGTTTCACCGGGTTACGGCTGCCAAGCTGATCCCTGGTTGTAGGTGTGAGACCGACGCTTGGAAGCCGCAGGCACAAAACCCCAAAACTTTTTAGGGGGGTTGTTCTAACTACCAGTGCATAAGTGAAATATATGTCATTTTCTGAAACGGATGGAAAATGGAGTCTCTGTAGCATTGTGTTTAATCTGTTCCTCGCACCAAAGTTAGCTATACTAATGTATTTAATGGTGAACGCATACTGTGAATACGCAGCAAGCTGTTTTGTGCAGCGGTGTATGCATACGCAGAACCACTTCAACTTGAATGAGGTAGTATTAATATTTATGGGTATGCTTTTTTTGCTTCTGAGTTTAATTATACAGTAACAGCTTTGGAAACAGTAGTGTTGTAGACATTTTTATCAAAGCCAAGCAACAAAACAGTATACAGTATAGATACATGAATGAGACAAAATGGTCTGTTGTTCAGGTGGTTAGAATACACTTTTATCATACACCCAAGTTTCACATTTACTTGGAAGCTTATGTAAAAAATCGGTGCCAAACACAATGACGGTGTATGTACGTAGGTTAATTTTTAGCAGTACTCCGTTTGTCCTAAACAGCATGAGAAATTAATTACATAAGGTGGTTCTAACTGTCTACGTGCAGAAGCTGCTTAGAAGGAGAAGTGGGGGACTGTAAGAAGAAATGTCAGATGAAGCAAAAATCTAAATGGATGCTTGGAATTTTTCTAGGTTTCAAAGGCAAATCAAAGCCTAATCTTCTGAAACAGGAGACTAGTAGTCTTGCCTGTGGGTTGCGCATTCTGTTCCGTATGTACATGGATGAAAGCCGTACCAGTGCGTGGGAGGAAGTCCAGCAAAGACTACTAAAGTAAGGTCCATGTACCTCAACCTGTTGATGTTATTTCTGATGTTAAAGAACACTTACTTTTTTTTAAAAGGGTAGACCTCCTTTGCAGTAAACTTCCTAGAGCTAGCACAATATGGTGGTGGTCACAGCTAATAGTAGGAGTTTGTGTGTTTTGTGGAGAGTGCTGTGCCTCCAGCCACCAATGCTGCCTCTGCTTTTTGTTGTCGTTACGTGTTTCGCAGGAGAGAACAAAGGTTTCGTCACCTTTTTTTGTAGCGTGTGGGTAGGTGGGGGATTGTTGCAGCTCTTCTTTAAGAAGAAAAGCAACTATCACCTAAACCTTGCTTTTTTCTTTTGGTAACTTGAGATATTTTAGGGAACTGATACCATTTGTTCTCAACTGCAGAAATGAGCACTGGGCTTGAGGAGCCTACGGCCATTCAGAAGCTTTTAGCTTTTTGGTTTTTCATTGCTGTGAATACTGAGGTTCACCTGAACGTTCCTAGTTTACAGAGTTGTTCAAGCGAGTGTTGGAATAACAGAGGGCTTAAAACCATGGCAGTAACACAATGAAAGTATTTTAAGGTTTAAAGACCAGGGAGCAGAGCTGAAAACTACCTGATTACATCAGCACAAGATGAATTTTTAAAGTCTACGTATCATTTTGTCACATGCATTTTAATACCTCTCAAAGAGCACTTGATGCACTTTAAATACATGCACAAACAGCACAATCATGTTTTGTCAGCGTATTTAATACTGAAGTCCTAGGATTTTGGGTTTGAGTTGAACAAAATCCTTGCTGTCTATTACTAATGAGGCTTACAGTAGCTTTCATAAAATGATGCTGTCCTTCACCAGGACTCTACACTGGTAGAGCTGCAAAGCCTAAGCTCCCTCTCTGCTGTAGAGCTCAAAATAAAACGTTAGTTACTAGGTTTTGTGTCTTTTCTCATTAGTGTCTGCAGTGAGGCTCTGAGTTACTTCCTCACTCTTACATCAGAAAGTCATCGGGAAGCCTGGACTAATCTATTACTCTTATTTTTGACTAAAGTCCTGAAGATAAGTGATGAAAGGGTAAGTAACTGCTTGGAATGGTATTTAAGACAACGTTTACAGCTAAGAAATAGTTCCAGACTGGTTCTTCACACATAGTTACATACTTGACTTTAAAAGCTCCTGCTGCTCTGTAGACACTCTCTGTTGAGGGAACGTACATTGAAACTGCACCTGACAGATACTGACAGTAGTAACGCAGAGGGAGGGTGCAATGAGTGATAAAATAAAATGTGTCTGAGAAAATTTTAACAGATGCTAAAATCCTGTAGAAGTGCGTGTTAAGTTGTTTTTACCCCTCTCCTGCTGAGGAAGAGAATTAGTGGCCAATAGTTTATTCAGAGAGAACTCCTGTTTCTGCTTCCAGCGCTACACATACATCGCCTTCACCTTCTCCAAAGCAATTCTGCAGTAAATAAATCCACATTTAGATCTCCCTCTGTGTCTAACAAACCTTGGCTGAAATACCAAGTGAAAGGGGCCAACTACAACAAAAAACTGAACGGATAATAGAAAAATTCTCCCCCTTGAAGAATAAGCATTAGGAAGGAGCTGTGTGGAGCATCTGTCAGAGGATGTGAGAGCTGCCTCAGCCTTATTCTAGCACTGCTAGCTGCAGTTACAAAGGTGTTTCTGCTTCTCACTTTGTGGGTTTCTCCCCTTGACTTGGGAGAATATTTAAAATTCTTCACTTGCAACACACTTTCTGAGGTGTATTGATGCATAATAGGATAATTCTGTTTGTTTTCTCCTCAGTTCAAGGCTCATGCCTCATTCTACTATCCTCTGTTGTGTGAAATTATGCAGTTTGACCTTATTCCTGAACTTCGAGCGGTTCTACGAAGGTTTTTCCTGCGGATTGGTGTGGTTTTCAAAATATCCCAACCACCAGAACAAGATCCTGGACTAAGCAAGCAGTAGCAGTTAGTGACTGAGTATTGCTCCGTTCAAAAGTTTATATTCCTCAGCTAAATAAAAGGACCAGGTAGCTGAGCTGTTCTGTCTGGACATCCATAAAAATGGGGTTTTGTATGGCAATGTGCAGCCAAGGGTTAACGGTACAGATGTGTACAACTGTAATTAAGGCTTGCAACGCTCCAGTCCCTTTATTTCCTGATGGATTCTCTCTATCGGTTTCTCTTACCTGGCTCATGCTGAGCACAGAGCCAGTTTTTAGCCCAGTCCTCTTGTCAGCGTGGGCTGCAATATCCTTCACGGTCCTAGACAGCAGTATGGCAACGGACGTTTGTGGCGGGTGTGAAAGTCAAATGTACCCAAAGAACTCTGTATGTAAAGGTTTGAGCTTCTGCAAGAAGTACAACTCAGGAGAGCTGTATTTTGAAGGATAAAATGTTTATAGTGAGAAGAAAATGGAGATTATTGTTCATGGTAAAAGATATTTAGCAACTACTGTCGGATATTCTAAGATTTTTGCACACTCAGGCTGTCTGAGACATTGGTAATCATCCTTCTGTGAAAAATGTACAGAGATGCAGGTCTGTAATATAAACTCTTTAACACTATACAGTTCTTCCTGCAGTGGTTTATTTCTGTATTGCTGATTTGCTGAAAACCCATAACACTTCATCGTTCACCAGATGCACTAGAAGTTTGGGTTTCTTTTTTTGGGTTGTGATTTATTTTTTTTCTTTTTCTTTTTTTTTTTTTTTTTCTGGTTTCGTTGTAGCCCAGAAGTTAGTGTTGCTGACTTTTGTCAAGAACAGAGGTAGAAATATCACAACTGACGTAACTACCTGTAATATACTTGTTTTAGGGCTTTTCAATATAACGAGCCATTGAAATGATGATCCTTCAAGGACTGGAACTTGAATCACTGCAAACAAGTCTAGGTTGTGTCTGCTGTCAGATGTTTTTTTGTTTGATGTAGATTTCACTCTTATGTACAGAATTTAATGTTGAATATATTCAAGTAACAAATCTGGCATGGTTTGGGGATGGTTAAATTTATTGGAAATGTATTCATACTGTGAATTGTGCTCTGATGGTTAAACGACAAGATTGTCAAGCATTCTGTATTACAATGGGTGTAGAAATTTTTTTCAGATGGACAAAATGTATATGGTACAGATATGTAAAGTTTTCTATGTAAAAAAAAATTCTGTACAACTTTCTGTACAATATTTGGTTCTCATCTGGCATATTCTAATCAGGTTATAGGTCAATAAAGTTTTTGAACTCTTTCATCAGTGCAATCACAACCAGTCCAACCCACAGCGACTTGTTTTACAGTTTCCTTTGCCTCTCGTGCTCTGATTTCAAAGGAACAAACCCCAGCCCTCGGGGGGCGGAAAGGTGGGTGCCCTTCGGTGGACTAGCGTGCGTCTCCTCATTGTTAAGTAAGTTAAAGTGAAAAAGAATGGTAAGTTTTTTAAAAAATAGGAGGAATAGAAGTGCTTGTTAGGTGAACTAGTCAAATAACTAGTGCGGCACGGATAGAAACTCAAATACTGTTTTGCTTTCTGGGGATTCAAATATTAATATGAAATATCTGTGGAATATGGATGGGAGGGAAAGGCTGGGCTTACAGTTCAGCTGAGTGCTGGCTGGGAGTGCAGCAGCCAGCTGCGCCTTGTCAGCGTCTTTGGTGGTGTAAGTAACAGTGTTATCGGGTGGTTCTCCTGTGTGTTCTCACAAAACTCATGACCAGCAAAGGAGAGAAGTGTGAAGACTTAGAAAGTGGATGAGGGCGCCTCATCTCGCAGAGGAATGACTCTCCTGTAGCTGTGCACAGCAGGCTCCAGAAATAAGCGTAGAGCAGTTCAAGGAAACAGCTGTGGCAAAGCCAGTGGAGGGAATTGAAGGGTATGACCTGTGAGTAGGAGTGGTCTCATAGTGTTCATTGGGGCGGAGCAAAACCAAATTGCGTTTATCGAAGTCAGAATGGGGAGAATGGAGGTTATTTTAGGTAATTGTAATTGTACAGCCTTTCCTCTTGGCCTGTATTTTATTTTTTCAGTTTGTTCTGTAATGTTTAAATCATAACCCCCTGTACTAGGCCAGACCTGAGGTCTTTCTCATCTGTTTGACAGCGATCAGTAGTAATTCCTAGAGTAACTGTAACGTGTCCCATCCCTATGGATGTGGCCAGCAGTGGTGGGAGCACCGTTACGGAGGTGTTCCCGACGCCGGGGCCCAGAGCACTGTTTCGCGGCCGTTACCTGTCTCTTGTCCAGGTGTCTGCCTAACGCCTCTTTAAAAAATGTCTCTGCTTGAGAGTCAGCATTCAGTGGCAGTGAGCACAACAGGGTATCTAAAAAATTTGGTAGTTTGGGTTGGGTTTTGTTGTTGTTTTAAACTTTACTGCTGCTTTGTTCTGCTGTGTACTCCTATTTAGCAATGACTTTTTTTTTTACAGCATGACCTTCTCATGCCTGACCTTACTTATTGCTTACGTGGAAAAGGCCTAAGAGCTGTTCAGTCTCGGTTCGTTGGGAGCTGAACTCCTGTCTCGTCGTGACTCTTTTCTGTACTTCTCTGTAAGTTCTTGCAAGGCTGGAACTGCCCGAAGGTGTACTCCGGTGTTCAGCTTGTTGAAGTCTCATGTTGAACTTGCAGCTCTCTGAACGCTCGCAGCCACGACGATTCTCAGAAAAGCGGGGTTGGGGGCAGGACATGGGTTCTAGTTCGGTCACCTCAGCGTTGAGCTGGAGCCTGCAGATTGTGGTTGCATTTATTTTGCAGATGAGACTGTTCTGATTTAAAAAATAAAAATAATGTAGGAAGGCAGGCAGGAACGCCCTGCCCACAGCTGGCCTTTGGGTGTGCAGAGAAAGCTGAAGGAAGGATTTGGAAAGAGGTGAAAGGACCAAGAGTATCCTGAAGAGCAGCCTGGATGCCGAAGGGAGGACAGCTGTAAGGAAGAGTGCGACTCACTCTGCTAAGCGCTGTTGAGCGGTGAGGTTCAAGTAAGTTCAGTGGTTTCAGGTCACAGCAGAGGTGAAGGAAGGAACTTAAAGGAGGGGCTGTGCTGTGTCCGAGAGTTGAACTGGAGGAAATGAATGCCAGCCTGTGATTCTGGCAGTTGAATGAGGCTGGCTTTTTAGTGTTACCCTAACTTAATGCTTCTGTTGGGGGGGTAAAACTTTAATCAAAGTTCAGAGAATAGAGAAAACTTAAACTATGGAAGGAAAGGAAGAAGAGAAGACAAGTTCTGGATCAAAACCAGGGGGAAGGCTGGCAGGCGACAAACAGAAGGGAAGCATGAAATCCATAACGTGGGCTTCAGTATGCCAGGCTCTGCAGCAGGGTGATCACTGCAGTATAAACCATTTTCATCTTGGCTGCTTCAAAGTATTTTGGGGTTCCTGCCTCTGGGAAATTCAGAATCAAGCCTTGTAGGTGATGAGCAGGAAATCTGGCAGCTCGCTCAGAACAGCTGTGGCCTTCAAGCAGGTAGATGGAAGCTTAAAGGCAGCATTTTACTAAAAGTAAATTTTTACAAAGTGTTTTGGTTTCATTTTTTTGTTTTTCCCTGCTGGGGCAAGGTTTGGCCTCTGGGTGGGAGTTTGCTAACCAAGGAAGTCATGGCCTCGCGTCACCTTGGTGGTTCAGTTGACTGAACTCCTGACACCTTGCTTCCAGCTGCACCTCCTTCTTGCCAAAGCTCTGTGCTTTTATTCAGCAACTTTTCCACGTCTTTTTCCTGCCTCTTTGAAGACAGCCTTAACATTCTGGTTTGTTCATGAGCAAAGGTAAGCTGAAGGCAGTGATAATTTTTAGTAACAATTTATTAATTCTTAAATCAGAACCATAAATTAGATATATGCAACCATGTCTATTTCCAGTACATAACAGGTATGCGAACATAAAATACAGTGCTAATGGAAAACAATGACCATGAAACAATTTGGTGAGCTTTCACGCAGGATAGCCCTCATCACCGTATGAAAAGCAAGTGCCTTTCTCCAAGTTATTTACTCCTGTTTGGCCACGGATCTTTGGAGTGTCTCTGAAGTTCCTGGTCGCAGCCAGGGCTCTGTGGCAACTGTGTCAACAGAAGCGGGCCGTCTGTTGGCGCTGGAGGGAGTGGGCTTCAAAAGGTCATCCCCTTCTAAGGAAAAGGTATCGTCTGAGAAGAGGAGAGAAACGTACGTATGTTAAAGAGGACAAAAGCTTATCACATCTTCCCACACCATTTTGTTCTACTGAACAGGCTTATTTGTTGGCAATAAATGCTTTTAAATTAAATTCGTTTCTACCTAACACACATTTTTGATGTTCTAGAGTCAACAGCTAAAGACTGCAAGCCTTTGATGTCTCCTTCCCCTGCCAGAGCAACGGGGCGGGGTGGCGATCCAGGCCAACGCGGATGGACTGGGTAGGGGGTTCCTGCTTTCCCAAAGCCTCCTGTTACAGGGAGAACTCCAATCTGCCAGTGCATATATGTGTAGAAAACGCATATAACAATAAGGTCACTAAATTACAGCGTAACAGCTAAAGGTTACATATACATGGACAGGCTCTCACTCAGAGAATTCAGGAAGGATTACTGTAACACTGCTACACGGCACAAATGCAAGCAAGTCTGTAGGGCACAGCCCAGCATAGCCGATAGCCTTAATGCAATGTTGTTGTTTACTGAGTAAATCGTCATCTTCCAGCTACAAAACAAACCACAGCCAAAAAAAACCAAACAAACACCAACTCCCAAAACCAGAACAGCGTTGCCTTTGAACTTGGGGTCGTTCGCCCTCTGACCTCTACTATCACTTGTTTCAGTTCCATCAGCAATCATACATACCTAATACCTTACAGAGATCCTTTTTAGCGTGGATTATCAAACAACATGAATCTTTATTTTATAGATATAAAGGCCTATAAATGTATTATTTCTCTGTGCTGTTCATTCTTTGAATTCACAACATTTAATTTTTATATATAAAAACCAAAAAATAATGCAGAACTCCCACACCTAGAACGACCGAAAGTTGCAATGGTTCTCTCTTTAAAGCTCAGTCGTGTAAATGAGGAGGTTCCGGTTTGTTGGGGCTTTTTTTTTTTTTTTAAGATGAAAGCTGGACAGAAAAATGCTTGAAGATTCTGGATTAGGAAAAAAAAACCCACAAGATTTTTGCAGAAACATACTAATTCCAGTAAAATGTAACTGAATTGCATAGTCTTTACCGATGAAATATTTCACTTAAGCAAGGTGTCATGTCATTTAAGCATTTGGATGATTTTTCCAAACTTCATTTTTTTTATTCTGGAAAAAAAAATGGTGACTTTTAAGAATTTTATGTTGAACCAATGCTCCTCTGACACTTCTCATTAAAACTTGAAAGCTGACAGTCTAAGCGTGGGCGTGAGACCCCGAGTCCTGCAGAAGCAGCCACCAGGTATGGGGCCGTGACGGGAAGGACAGAAACCGGCCAGTCCCACGCACTGGGAGCAAAGCCTCGGGTTTCCTCTTAGGTGCCCAAGGCGGGATGCGGGATGCAGGTTCTAACACCAAACACCAGTACTTTTTGTTCAAAAAGAACCTGGCAGTGAATCCACGCGTTCCGTCACATCATGC